CCGCTCTGACGAGGGAAGATGGAACAAGGACTTTGCTAGTAAAAGAGGTAAGAAGGACATTACTAGAGTAAGAATGATAATCAAGAAGATTGTATTTCTAAAGGGACTGGGATAAAGAGGTCTGAGTGAAATATTTTGTACAAATGTAGTGACCTATAAATACTGGTGAACTTGTGTAATAAACTGGCTTTGTTCTGCTGGCATAAGCAGAGTCCGTGTCTGTCAATCCCTGCACTTCAGTCTCTGAAAAGAATGAGGTGCTTTTTGGTGTTCAGGAACACTGGCAGGAGTGTTCCTGGACACTAAAGATTGTCATCAGCATCCTGGGCTATCAGAGCACAACTGTCAACAGGATATTGATGGGAGCAAAGATCTTACTCTGCTCAGCAGTCCCCAGATGGTATCAAGTATGCTGTGCTGCCTACTGGACTGTAACACAAAAAGATCTCCAGCAAAGTAAGTGAAATACATGAAGATTGAGTGAAGTGGGAGTGGTGAGTGAAGTGGGGCATTGGTGAGTGAAGTGGGACATTTACTTGTGCATTAGAGGCTGAGGACGCAGGCTTGTTGACAACAGAGAAGAGAAAGATAGAAAGCTTTGTTGGGAGAACTAAAAATATTTTTGGAGTATCTGTGATCATTGAACTGTGTGAGGTAATTCTTGCATGTAGAGAGAGGCAGATTAATTTAGAAAGGTGATGCTTAATATGAGTAATCAATGCTGTGTTAACATAATGGATGTGATGTTGACAACCATGGCAACACCAATTCCAACAACGCCCTCCTGGAACCACACAGCAACACCTCTCTTGCTGGACATGTTGGGTGAGCATGTGCAGGGGAAAGGATGACACAGAGACATGGATTGGGATGCAGCAGAGCTTTAATGAGTCAAAAGATTAGGAAGAAGTCATTCTGAGTGGTAGATAGAGCACTGAGGCTCTATCCCTGGGTTTGTACCATCCTGTGTGTCCCTGGGTTCCTTCCCCAGGGCCAGTGGCAGCAGCTTCAGCAGGGGAAGCACCTCGTGCCACAGAGGCCACTGCCCAAGCCAGAGAGGCCAAAGCCCCCAGAGCTGATGGGCACTCCCTGAGAGCTGAGGATGCTGCCAACAGCAGCCGAGGTGGAGGATCCCACGGCGGTGTTCTGTGGGAAGGAGCTGAGGATGGGCCCGGGCAGGGTCACCACCACGGGCGAGGGCTGGATGGCCACGGTGGAGTCCTGGCACTGCCTGACACAGGGCTCATTGCAGCTGTTGGCCAGCGGGGTGGGGCCGCAGGGCTGGCAGGGCCGGCACGGGCTGTAGCAGGACATGTCTTGGGGCTGCAGGTGCACCTGGGAGACAGGGAAATGAGAAGCAGAGCACAGGGCTGAGTGAGGGGGCTCTGTTTGTCCATCATCTGGAGAAAAGCCAGATGTGCAAAACTGCACAATGTTGTTTAGAAAGGCCCACCAGACTCCCCTTCTACTCAGCTGTAAGGAATCCCCCTAAGAATGACCAAGCCCTGGGTTCCTCCACAGCACAGGAGACAGTTCAGCCAAAACCCAGCCTGTTTCCATGAACAACTTCTGCCCCTTCCATCTTCCACAACAGGCAGTTCTCAACAACCCACACAGGACCATCAGAGTGGATAGGCTCAGAAAACTCAAAGGAAAAATAAAAGAAAGGGCTTCAAACTCACCTTGATCCCAAGAAGGTCGAGGTGAGAGGAGTGAATGAGAGCACGAGGAGAAGGTTCCCCTTTTATACTGGTCTAGCACTGCCCCAGGCCCACAGGCACTGCACAAGGACAGTAATTTTCCAGCACATTCACCTCCAAAGCAAAATATCCGCCCTAACGCCACACGTTGTGGTTTGATTTCCATCAACGCTGCCATTCCATTTCCTCATTTCTGACGTGCTTGCTCTGTGTTGCAGCTCCTTTCACGTGTGCCACTCGAGGCCTGAGGACACCTGGGACCAGAGCGTGTCCGTGTAGGCACAGGATGTGCCCCCGTGCCGCAGGCTCCCGAGCAGGCAGGGGATGTTGGCTCGGGGCAGTGCCTTGCCATTGCTGGCAGCTGCCTCTGCAGGGACAGCCCCAGCTCTGCCCTGCCCCAAAGAGCAGCAGAGCACCCAAAGGTTCCTCTCCTCACAGCACGTCCTGCCTGCTGCCCTCTCCTCGTCTCACCTCACTCCAGCGCCCACTGGGCACTGCTTCTCCAGGGAAATGCTTTCCTCTCCCTTCCTCTTGATGCAGATCGTTTGGCAGGCTGGGCATTCCAGGGCTGGGGTTAGAAAGCCAAAGCTCACCTGGAGCTGAATCAGGAAAGCTTGTGGTGGGAAAGGAGAAGATCTTCCACACAGGGCAAGAGCAAAAGGGAGGCTTGAGCCAAGGCTGACTGGAGCAGCTTCACTGGGGGCAGGGGTTACAGGAAAGGGGAAGGTTCTTCAAGGCTTCTGGGCCTTGGTCTTTAGTGGCAACTTTTCATGTCACAGGATCAACCTCCTGGTACTCCTCAGAAATAGGGGTAGGGAAAACCTCCCCATGGCAGAGGAGGAGGATCAGCTGTGAGAACATTTAAACAGACTGGAACAATTGAAGTGTGTGACCTGCTGATGGGCACATGAGTGTTGGTGTCAAAGAAAGCACCTCTGAGCTCCCTTTGGGAGGTTCCAGTAGTCAGGGAATGCAGCTGAGAACCAGGAGAAAGAAAATGGGCATCCTGATTTCTAGACGTCCATGACTGAAATTTGGATTGGCTTCAGTTCTCCAAGGTTTCTGATGAATGGGATGAAGTGTAGCTGGCAGAGACTCACTCTTAGTGCACCACAGGGCCCAGACTGGTGCCAGCACTGTTTAACCCCTTTAGGCAAAGTCCTGCAAGGCTGGAGGGAGAAACTCCTGCCTGCCACAGGCTGGGGCTGTGGGAGCCAAAGAGCTTTGCAGTACAGAAAGGGCGTCCTGCAGGACATCGCGACACAGCCCTGGGCGTTCGTGGGACTGGCACCTGGCAGCATCCAAAATTGCATTAGGAAGGGGTTTCTTCTCCAATTGTGGAACATGACCCCTCTCCTCTGCTCTGCAGTGCTGAGAAATCAGTGCCATAAAGAGCAGTTGCCCAGTATAAGAGAGGCACAGTCATACTGGTGCAGGTCCAGCAAAGGGCCTCAGACCCCATGAGGTGACTGGAACCCCTGGAACAGGAGGGGCTGCTTGATTGTCTCCTGGAGGAGAGGGGACATCTGGGCTCACTGCTCAGCAATGACTAAAAGAGCTGTGGCAGGAGTCCAGAACACAGAGCCAGGCTCTCCTGAGTCTTCTCCAGAGAAGGGACAAGAGGAAATAAGCACACTGGAAATAGGGAAATTCCGGGGAAGCATAACAAAAGATTTTATTAGTGTGAGGATGATAAAAAACTCGCTTGCAGTTGACACAGGCAGGTTGAGGATTGTTTGTGCTTGTAGAAATTCAGGACTTGGCCCTGAGCATCCTCTAAGAGCTGATCATGCTGTGCAGAGGGGTGGTTGGACAAGGTGATCTCCGAGGTTTCTTCCAGTCTCATAGTCTGTCATGGGGAAAAAACAGTGATGCAGAACTGGTTTTTTTGAAAAGGAGAAACTGGATGCGAACACTGGAATCAAGGGCAGCCTTGGCTGTCACACCACAGAAAGTGGAGAGGAAGAGCTGTATCAGGGAGGAAATGGGTAGCAATGTACATCCCCCGGACATCAAAAATCTTGCACTCAGTCAGGCATCTGGCAGGATGGAGGCACCTGTGAAGAGTAAAAGAGGTTAGAAAAGCTTGCAACAGCTTAGGCATCCTGTGGTCAAGGATTAAGAAAAGTCCAGGAAAAACACAAGAAACCAATAGGAGCTCTGAGAATAGGGGATGTGCTCACGAGTGCCCTGGGTACAAAACCAGGTTACATCAAGGAGTGCTGCACTTCCCTGCCCTGCAGACATGGAGGTAGCTGGGATGCATCCTAGAGGGCAAGGGAATGCCTTCAGTAGGCAAATTTCCAGTGAGGGACTCTCTCCACCTGTAGCGAGTCATGCTCTAATTTTGTGTTGGCTGTGTGTCAGCCGTTTGGTGTGAGGCCAAGCCAGGAGTGTGTGATGTCTGCAGGCTTTGTTCCAGGCCAGGATGAGTTCCCCTCCAGCAAGGGCAGCTCCAGCCATGCAGAGAGAAAACATCTCCAATATTGGGCTGTAGCCAAGCCCAGAGCTCCAAACAGACACACAACACACCTTGCCTTCAGCAGGACCTTACTGTCTGCCAAAGAGGGTGGAAATCAGTGTTACCATTTTTCCCTGGTGTCATGATCCCTTCCTTCCAGAGACAACTCCAGTACACCTTCTGTCTGTGCTGTATCCCTGCCTGGGAAAGCCTTTGGTCTTTCATCTCAATACTTGAAAGGATCCTTGGATGCCTAATGATCACGTCAGGAATGAGGAAAACAAATGGCAATGTTGATGGAAATAAAAGCACAGCCTGTGGCATTAGGTAGGATATTTTGCTTTGGAGGTGAGTCTGCAGGAAAATTACTACCCTTGTGCAGTGACTGTGGGCCTGGGGCAGAGCAGGGGCAATATAAGAGAGAGCTTGTCCTCACTCTCTCATCCACTCCTCTTGCCTCAGTCTGCTTAGGATCGAGGTGAGTCGGGTAACTTTTCTCCTCTCCTTCCTCTTCCTTCTCCTGTTTTCCAGTGCATACCTCTCACTTGGTCCTATGCTGCATCATGGGACTGCTCTCTGTGAGAGGTGAAATGTGAAAGAGGGTCATGTGGAGGGAGGCTGGGGATTTGCTGAAGTGAGTGATAGTCTGGGCAGGAACATTCTGAGATTGGTTGCTCTTGGCAGGGAACCTGTGGGCTAAATGAGAGGAAAAACCTGTGGGCATCCTTGCATCTTCAGTTCTTGAGTTTTTGTCTCCGTCTTGGCTTGAGTCATGGTGTGGTGACAGGCTGAACTACAAACACCGCTCACGGACTGCTCCTCTCTCCTCTCTGCCAGGTGCTCGTGCAGCCCCAAGACATGTCCTGCTACAGCCCGTGCCGGCCCTGCCAGCCCTGCGGCCCCACCCCGCTGGCCAACAGCTGCAATGAGCCCTGTGTCAGGCAGTGCCAGGACTCCACCGTGTTCATCGAGCCCTCGCCCGTGGTGGTGACCCTGCCTGGGCCCATCCTCAGCTCCTTCCCACAGAACACCGTGGTGGGATCCTCCACCTCGGCTGCTGTTGGCAGCATCCTCAGCTCTCAGGGAGTGCCCATCAGCTCTGGGGGCTTTGGCCTCTCTGGCTTGGGCAGTGGCCTCTGTGGCACGAGGTGCCTCCCCTGCTGAAGCTGCTGCCGCTGGTCCTGGGGAAGGAACCCAGGGACTCCCAGGCTGGAACCGCCCTGGGCACGCAGCATCGGCTTCTTGCTTCCTGAGGGGCTGAGAACCCCAGCAGCCCTTGCAGAAGGACAGGGCCAGCCTGGGCTCTTGGCAAGCACAGCCCGTCCCTGCCTTTGTCCCCTGCCACTCTCTCCGTTCCCTCTTGTGACCTTGCTCCTGTGTGCTCCCTGGGGCTGTGATCCCCACGCAGCCATCCTGGGGAGCACCTGCTGGCCCTGCTCCCTCTCTGGATCAGGCAGATGGACGCCTGCTGGAGCACAGATTTCCTTCTGTCCCTCATGCTCTCTGCATTGGGACCTCCAGATGGACCAACCTTGTTTCTGTGTTTTGTCTCATTAAATTTCTCCTGCATCCCAGCCCATGTGTTTGTGTCATTCTTTCCTCTGCAGGTTCTTTCTCATTATGCCCAGGGGAAAATAAGTTTTTAAGAGCTGTTTTTGTGAGGCTTTGCTTGGGATGAATATACAGTGATGGATAATAGCTTTGTATAGGTTGTACACAAGATGGAGTTCAATTTCACCGAATTAACCCTTCTACTGGTTCTTCATAGTTGGAGCTAGAATGGTGCTGATACAAAAATATTTTGGGTTTTTCTGGGCAGTGCTTGCCCAGCATCAACACTATCTCTCCACCCTCCTCTGCAAAAGGCCATGAAGTTGGATGTGGTCAAGATGTTGGGAGAGGACATAGCCAGGCTGCATGACCCACACTGGCCAAAGGGATATGCAATAGCATATGACATCATGGTCAGCAAAAAATGCTGAGAGAAAGGAAGAGGGGGCTGGCAGGGGAGCATTTATTAATAGATTGTCAAGGAAGAAACCACCAAGTGTACTCTGTTCCTGCTTTCCAGGAGAGGCTAGACATTGACAGTTGATGGAAGGTGATAATAAAACTATTTTTTTCCCCCGTGTTTTTGCAGTCTTTCCTTGCTTTTCTTCATTAAACTACCTTTATCTCCACACACACAGTATTAATTTCATCTTCTCCTACCATACTCTCTCAGCAAAGGGAGTAATTGAAATTTTGATGGGCACCTGAGGGCCAGGAAAGATGAGACTGTGTGGAGGATAAAATAGACCTCTCCATTCTCATCCATGAATAATGCAGGTTGTTTTGTTGTACAAGCTCACAAAGTCCTTTTCCATCTTAGTGTGAAGTGTTGAAAAATACTAATTAACTCTATTGACCTAATGTGGTGTTTGAAGTAATTGATGTCAGGGTGGTGTAAGAATAAAGAATTTTTTGGTGTGGCAACAGTGAAACTTGTCCTGAGGTGGCTGGTGGCAGCTTTTAACACAACCCTGGAGCTTGACTGGTACTATCAAAGGACAGGGATTGAGACAGGGACCCAAATCACTTCTGAGAATGTCACGAGTGAGTCACGCATCTGAACTACATTTAAGAACACAGCAGTTGAGGCAGACACCCAAATCACACATGAGAACACCAGGGCTGAGACAGGGACCCAGACAACGCCTATGGTAATGGTTTCTTGGAGAAACTTGTTGCTGTCTCTGGTAGTGGTGGACGCAACCTTCTCTGAGAGCGTCTTGTGCCTTTGTGGCAGGAGGCATGAGAGCACCAGCACACACAGACAGACACACACACACACACACATACAGACAGACAGACAGATACACAGACAGACAGGCACACACGCAGCAGCTCTGTAAGCTCTGTAGTGAAGGCATGGGACTGTCCAGGCATGGAGTTCTAATGTGCTCCATTTCAGGCAATGCTGAAGGAGTCCATGGCATAAAGACAAAGGAGGGTCCGGGTTATAAATACAGAGAAAGAGGGGGTGGAGAAGAGCATCAGGGATCCAATGGTCTGAGGGCTCAGGGGCAGTACTCTGGGAAGGGACCAATAGAGAATGCCAGGGTGGATAGGTAGGGTTACAAAGGCCAATGGAATAACAGGGAAGGGAGAACATTCTAGAATAAGAACATATAGGGGTAAAAGGGGTAGAGAACACCAATGGGCCAGTGGGAAGACAGAACTGGGACAAATTAACATAGTGCTGCGGAGAACCATGGGGGAAGCTTCTTTCCTCCCCCTAAGCTGTGAGGAATGCCCAGAGGCTAAGGTGCTTCTCTGCAGGGCATTCCTTGTGCCTTCTCCCCAGCAGGCTCATGGACCTCCACAGAAACTGACTGCTCCTGGCTCTAATGTGAGTTGTATTCGCTGGATAAAAATTTGGCTTTATGGTGGTGCTCAGAGAGTGGTGGTGAATAGAGTTATGTCTAGTTGATGGCCAGTCACTAGTGGTGTTGCCCTAGTATTTGAACTCAGTGTTTGGTCCACTTCTGATCAGTATCTTCATGCATGACCAGGGCCAGGGGGTCAAGTGTATCCTCAATAAGTTTGCAGGTGACTACAAGCTGGATGTCACTGTTGATCTTCAGGAGGGTAGAAAGATTTTATAGAGGGATCTGGACACACTGCATCAATGGACCGAGGCCAATTGTATAAGGTTCAATAAAAAGAAATGCTGGGTCCAGCCCTTGGGTCACAAAAGTCCCCTACATCTCTACAGTTTTGGGGAGAATGGCTGGAAAGCTGCCTGGGGGAAGAGACCTGGGTGTGCTGACTAACAGCAGTGGAACATGAGCCTAGACTCCATCATAACTGCCGGGATAGTCCACAGGCTGAACTTGGGATGCTTATTGGATAAGAACCACACTGTGCACACTGAATAATTTTATTGGGGATTAAAGCTTGCCTTTGTATTTCTTTGAATACATTTTTGCAGTCTGATACTATCGCTGGCAATCCTCAAACCGTAACCTGTCACAATTTTATGTTATTCAGAGTATTATTCCACAAAATGTCAGTGTCGGGGCTTCACGGGTGTTTCCAGTCTCTGGCAGTAGGGAACATACTTGAATACAGTGCAAGACCCACTGAGGATCCAAAAGTGGGGAAACCTGCTGAGGGGTTTCACTGACTGATGGTGTTTCCCTGACTGAGTCAGTTGAGCTGGCCTTCAATCCAGCAGGATGGCTCCATGCAGGGCCCCCATCATTGGACACTCACAGAGTGGTTGGGCACAAGGGTCTCAGCTTTTCTTCAAATCAAACACTACGGGTCAAGGAAATCTCCCTTTTTCATGTGGCAGCATCTCTGATGGAGCTCTAGTAATTGAACTGTTGAGGCATTCCATCCATAGGTAGAGAAGTTTGAAAAACAGAGGATCATCCTATAAGCATAGTCAAAACTATTCTGTGATAATGGTCCCTGTACAGTCATACTCAATAACCCCCCATGTCATTTTGTAAGGACAAATACAGGGGAAATTATGACAAAAAGGCAATGGCTCAAATGCAGCAGAACTTTAATGAGTCAAAAGATGAAAACTAGGTAAATCTGAGCTACAGGAGCACTAGAGGCAGATAGGAGTATGCACCAAATAATTGTGGTGGAGACCTCAGAAGAGGTCCATCTGCCTGCCCTGCAGAGGGAGCAGGGCCAGCAGGGGCTCCCCAGGATGGCTGCGTGGGGATCACAGCCCCAGGGAGCACAAGGGAACAAGGACACAGGAGGGAACGGAGAGAGTG